CCGCCATTAATAATGACTACTCCTTTTACCTCTATCACAGTCGATAATTAAAACTCATTATCTTATTTCTTAGAACTGGTGTGCAGACGTTTAGACGAGAACACGACAGGTTCTGGGTTATGGCAGCCCATCCAACACTAAATCTTTTTGCTGCAGGTAAGAATTCTCATGTTGCTGATGTTAGCGTTACCCCTTACTAGTTACCATGCACCGAAATACGTAAACGAACGTAAAGCCTCGTTACTGAACGAACAATCGTCAAAACTACAGTTCCCTGTAAACGTTGTTTAAACGTTGGGTAAACGTTTGGCGTAATTTATTCGCACGAATGTTGGCCGTGTGTTGGTGATTTACATACGCGAAGTTTGCATGCATGAGATGTTATAACTCGGGGCGTCTCGCTCATTCCCTGAAAAACTAGCACGCACGATGCATGCCATTCTTTACCTAGTAAACTAAAACTCTGAATATCCACAGAATGTTAACTCATGATATTACTTTAGAAGCCTGGCCACTATTTGTTTACGAAAATTTAGTTCATTTCCAATGGAATTTGATGACTTGGCAGTCTCGATTTTAATTTAAATCGATAGAAAATGGATCGCTAGAAAATATTTTATGGCTCTGTTTTTTGGGATCTGAAGGATGAACGACTAATTAATGTAGACTCTTGTGTCTGGAGAAGTTTTAAAACATTTTCTGTGCAAATAGTTTAATATACATGGAATAGGACATATGTTACCCTGGAACCAGAGGGTATTTATTTTCGCCTGTTTTGAATAACCCTCTGGTGAAATTGGCGTAGTTTTTGGGTTCACATTCCACACATAACTTTCAAAAATGGAAGCAAAGAGTTGATTGGCTGCTGACTATAGGTTCGATAGACTACGTGTTCTGATTGGATATTGTAAACATCATAGCCTGTTCGCAGGCGTTTCGAGTTTTGATTGAATTGAAACATTTGAATTTTGAAATGTCTATATTATTAAATAAACGAACAAAAGTTGAAAGAAGCAGTTTTATAGGCTGCATTAATAGATAGATTGATAAATTTCCTGAATTAAAAGTTTAACGGAGCATCAATACCGCGCCTTGTCCAATTTGATTCACATTAAAGATGTAGTTGCATCTTGCTATCGGTTATGGGAAGAGTTTAATATTCCAAAGTTCCAACACCGAGAGTAGCACGACGACTTGGCAAAAGCCACAATTTTCTGGAGAAACCCATAGACCTTAAGGGTACTCGGCTTCGGCTCGTATCTTTATATCTGATAAAACACTGCTGCTCATGTTTTAAATAATTTAGTATACATAAAGCACTATACTTTATAATTATAATACTATTGATCATGCTAATGAATTGTTTTTCATCAGGTCATGACAGCGGAATGATCGTTTTCAAATTGGAAAGAGAAAGACCACCTTACGCTGTTCATGGGAACACACTTTACTACGTCAAAGTGAGTTCGTTGTGTAGTTTCTCCATACAGGGTGTCCCCAAAAACCCAAAACTATTGAAATAACGTATTGTTAGAATTTGAATGCCTCAGTACTCTGATGAATCCACAAGTGCATGAAAGCTTGACATGAGTAAATTTTATGCATAAAGAAACTGTTTAAAAGAATGTT